TATGACTGTGCAATGACAATAAAGAGTTATCTTATCTTATCTTAAATATATTCTTTAAAGTGTCCCCACCCACAAAAAAACATTAAGCGTTTCCCATGGCTAAAACTAAAAGTAAAAAACAGGAGCAAACATGGTTCGAGGGCACAGACGTATGAAAAGTTCTTTTGCACCTTTGATATGAATGAAACGATTGAAGAATCGAATGGGCTTGAGGGAGAAGAAGTGGGCCAGATCCTTCATGCCAACTTTAAAAGGGTTCCTGTCATCAAGCTTCAGGTGCGTGTGAACAGAGAGACGCAGATCCTTCTCAATCTCCTTACACAGCTTGTCGAGCAGGTGCTACAACACAGGAAGAAAGAATCTTAACAAATAAAAGCCTTAAAATAGCCACGAAAGAAGCCTGTTCAGAGCACGCTCTCACCTCCTTGAACACGTCCATGATCTCCTTGTCGTAGCTCTCCAGCAGCTGGTCACATGACTCCATGTGTTTGGAGTGCATCATAGACAGCACACTGTCCCTTAGTGCACTGAACATGTACTGCTCACGCCAATCACCGTGCAGATGGACAGAACAGCCAAAAATGAGATAACACTCAAAACCTCACTAAAATAAAGACAAAAAATACACACACTGGCACAAAGTATTGTGTAGTGAATATGATGTGAAGCAATATGTAACCTATTACTCATACATTTTTTATCTTGTGTATGGTTACAACTCTTACTTTCTGCTGGTATGTGTGTACTCTACTCAACAAGTGTGAGTTAAGAAATTTGCGGGGAAAGAATAATGTGTTTTGCCAGGGTCAATCTGACCCAGGGAACACTGCACTGATAAACAGCCCTTATAAAGGTGTAATGAAAGCAGATGTTGCTGTAGTTGAGGGCCAAGGACTTGTAAAGTGTCTTTGTACATTTTCTAGAGATTTCCTCAACTGTTTTTGAGTTGCACCACAATGTTTCAGAGTTTCACTGTGTTATGTTCATCACAGGTCTGTCTGCTTACATGTATTCGTGCTGCGTCTACGGCGTTGTCATATACATCATCTAGATAGATGGGAAACACAGCTCGGTGCCAGTACAGGAAACTGCAGTCACACTGAAGCTTGACCCTGAGGAACAAAGAACACTTTGTTGAATTGTCAATGGAAAATTGTA